GCACTGAAACAGCTGCAGACGCTGTAGCTGACGGTGTGACCTGAACACCCTCACATACATAAGTCATTGTCTTTAGGTGTTTGATGGCCAGCGCTGATCATATCATTATTTGTGCGCAGATTAACCTACAGTAAATAATGTATTATGTGAATGCAGGTGTGTGTGTGTGTGTGTGTCAGCCTGTTAACATGCCGACATGAATCATGATCGTGGATGGACCTGGTCCACAGCCTCACTGTGATGTTCCAACATCTATTAAACCAGGTTCGTGAGTAAACCACACGTAAAGGCCTGTGACGATAAGTCATTTTGCTGAACGATGTACTGTCCCACAATTTATTATTAACATCATTTTGAGACCAAATTAACCCCTGATGTAATGATACTGATGATACTGATAATAATAATAATAATATTAATAATAATGATAGATTTAAAATGAAATACATTTTATTTCTCATGAATATTTAATTAGATTCTCAAATTTCCAATGGTACCTGAATGCCTCTTGTTAGAGAACACCACTTAGTGAGTCGCTAATAAAAAATATATTATGTATATATTTCTTTATATATTTCATATATATTTATTGTAATGGCTGTCAGGGTGAGGAGTTGTGCAGTTAGTGCGATGAAGCCAACGTAGTCAAAGACTCACACCCTTTGGTGCTGTTCACACTAACATTCCATTCACACTAACATTCACACCAGTGGTCCACACGGAGTGAACACCTAATCCTGCCTCTTGTGGACAGTGGGAGGAAACATGAGAACTCCCCACACAGAGACCATCAGTTCCCACCGAGGCTCGAACCAGCGATCCTCTTGCAGTAAGGCAAGAGCACGCACCGCCCTCACACCGCAACGCCCTGGTATTAATTTCAATATGTAACAGGATGAAATACAACGAGCATCACTTCACATGTCCACACCTGTGTCCAACTGCACACTTCTGTCAGTAGCTCAGTTTCTAAAATCAAACCCGACACTCTGCCCTCTGCTCTTGCTCAGTGGCACTTCGATCGGTGACATTCAGCCTGATAGACAGAGCCCATCAGGGCCCAAACCTGTACACACACACGCACACACACACACTCTGAGTTTTTAATAAAAGTGCAGCCGTTTCATCCGGAGTGAAAGATTAGGCTGCAGCCCAGATTTGGCACGCTGCTCTAACAGATGCAGTGGATCTGCTCTGGGACCGCTCCCAACTTCCCACACGGCCGACTTGTACCTGCAGCCATCAATAATGTAGAGAACAACTCAGTTCTGTTTCTCTTCTCTTCACCCAGCAGCAGATCTGCTCTGCTAAATTTTTATTGCCAATTATTCCGTGCGTGTAAACAGAAGTAAGAAAATGGCCGTCATGGAGTCGACTGTCTGATGACGACTCGCGTTCCGTTATTCACCTCTGGGTAAAAACAAATTCAGAACCCCACATAAAACTGATTTCAAATAATAATAATAATAAAATAAAAAAAACAGTCACCCAGTCAGCCACCACTGGGGGCACAGAAGGATAAAAAAAAAAAAACGGTTCCATACTTTCAGCCGGTTTCAGCCAGTACTACAATACAAAACTCCACGTGTTCTGACTAAAACACGGGTCACCAAGTTTTTTATTTTTAGCATTTCTGGACAGACTTGGGGACAAGACACTGAACATAAAAAGAAAATTCATAAAATGAATCCAGTCGCGGCCAGGATTGGACTCTTGGGCGGGCGAAATTAAACCTGCGGGCCAACAGTTGATGAACACTGCACTAAAATGTGGAACACATTAGTCAAATGGGTTGACAGACCTAGTTTTTTTGTATTTAATGTAAAGAACAAACAGCCTAATATTTTTTTTCACACTAGAGTTGGTGTGAAATTCAAATGTTGGACGTGGAGCCTCGGCACCAACCCTGTGCCTCCTCTCTGCTGTTGCTGCTGTATTTTCTGAGAAGTACGAGTCAAAAGTGACTCGTTCAACTGGGTTTATTGACAGGTGGGATTTATAGCCAATCTCTGGGCTTCAACGCTACTGATTGGTTCTGCTGGGCTGAAATCCTGCTGAGATTTTGGGAGTAAATGTGTCCCCAAATTCAGAAGGTATTTACGCTCACAATATTTGAACAGGAGACAAATTGTTGGGATGATTTTATAAGGGAAAGAAGTGCAGTATTTATAACAGTGTCTCAGTTTTGTTTTTTGTCACCAGAAACCTGGTGACATGATACAGGGGCAACGATATGATATATATTGCGATACAATAGTCACGGCGATATATTGAGTTTTGTTTTTTTAAATCCTTCCAGCCAGACCAAAGTTTCCACTGCTCTAGTTTTGAAGGCAAGATAAATGTGGAAAAACAAAGACAAAAGCCTCAGTAAAGATGGTGTTTGAATCTACCTAACGCTTGAGACTGAAAACTGATGAATAAATAAATGGCAACATAAAAAATAACATCAGTCTTTTTTTTATTATTATTCTTGTCAAAGTCAGTTTGATTTTTCTTTGTCAACACGGTGACAAATATAATTAAACCAATCTTTACGTGAAGGAAAACTAAGCTTAATGAGTGTTTTGACAGAGAAGTGATGTATGTTCCGTGAAAAACCAAACCATTAGAGTTCAGTGATACAGTTACTATAGAAATACTTCATGAGTCTCCACTGTAGAACTAACAGTCAAACTCCTTATCCTGCAGCACTAAAAGATTTGTTCAAATGTTTCGTTTTTTTCACACTGCACTCACTGTGAGACCAAACGTTTTATTGAAAATTCAAATTCGTTTTTGGACAAATTGAGATTTGTTCCCAGGCAAAAAGATTTTCTGAGGTTTCTGTCAGACACTTCAGATCTTTTTCCTGAGGTTCTGATCGTCTCATTTCATTCCTAGTTAGTGATTGGTTTCAGTCAGGTGTTTAAGTATGTGTGGTGCAGATGACAGATACAGGTTGAAGCTCCAACAAACGCATGCTGGGAGCTGATGGTGGGATGTTAAACCAGAGGTGATTAAGTAAAAAAAAAAAACTTTTCCCGCAGTATGTGTAAATAACAACATGCGTATCAACTGTGTATTAGCCGGACAATAAGTGGATGCAACGATTAGATTTAAAGTGTGTGTCGTCACGACCATGAGTTGAAATGCCATGAAAAAATAAATCTTACCACATTTTCCGGATTATAAGTCACACTTTTTTCATCCTTTGGCTGGGCTTGAGACTTATACTCAGGTGCGAGTTATGAATTAAAATATATAATTTCACATGAGTTATTATCACATTGACAGCCATTAGAGGGCACTGATGCGGCCGACTTATACTGTATATGTTTTTTTCTTCTTCATTATGCATTTTTTCGGCTGGTGCGACTTATATATCACATGTTGCGTACAAACTGTACCAGACGTCAGTTTCACTTCCTGTGTCACCATGAACCGACAGTAGTTCAGATAAATACGGTACAAAGACACCTCTGTTTCTTTCTCTTTTTTTAATGACACTGGGGGCAGCGTAGCTGCTCTTATCTCTCGTGTGTCTAAATAGCAGAGCAGACGTGCAGCGACGCCTCTACAGCCTCATGAGCAGAATAATCAGCAGCTGCCCTCACCGTGAGCTGCAGCTGCGGGATATATTTATAAAATCCAGATTTTTAACTGCGTGATGTGTTTTCTGTTACAAGGGCAGAGCAGATGAGTCTGGATGACTAAGCCTTTCTCATTACCTCCTAATCTGGCCAGCACTTTGCTGCTCACTGAAATGTCGGGCTGAATTTTTCCTGCTAACATCAGGAGGAATAACCTGAGGATGAATCAGACCCAAACACTTCAGTCCAAGCCAATTTCAAAGTGACTATTAATCTGAATAATGAGCGTCTCCGCACTGATTTCTTCCGCTGCCGGGCCTTGAACATAATGTTAGTTTAATGTTTGTTTGTTTGTCTTTTTTTACTGAGGGACAGATCTGTTCTCCTACTCTGACGAGTAACATTTCATGTTTGTGTTCAATTAAATTAGCAGTAATTTCACAGAAACATGTCTCACCCAGGGCACGGTGCTGAATGAAGATTATGGGCTGTATTAACGTGTTCAGTGTGTGCAGTGCATCAGGATCTAGTCACTGATGTCAGGGTGAACGGTGTAATCCTCAGAGAAAAACAACGACAAATCTGCAGCTTTGGCTCCAGCGTTCCACAAATTCTATTTATTCTAAAAAGTGAGATTCTCTCTGAAACTTCGGTTCTC